CCCTACCCTATCCCCCTGAACCCCCCTACCCCCCTCCTCGCCCTCCCCTTCCCCCTATAAGCTTGAAGAATATGTTGCACACCATGTGTGGGTCCCTGGGGGTTGGTGAGCGAAGCACTGTCGGAACTATTCCTTAGGAACATCTTCACCCTCTCCTTGACTCAGCAGTGAGGAGTACTTGCGTACTTCCTTAAGGGTGCACAGAAGGACACAGTAACTGTTGGCGGGGAACTACACTTCGTGCACAATTGTTATTTTTCTTACGTAAAGGTTCGTACGTCTTTATTTTTATGTGCTCTCCTGCTTAAACTATACTTCGACTACGGTATATCCCCCCCCTCTGTGCAGTAAGCTCGCGGCAGCTTGTACAGGGGTGGTAAGCCATAGATAGGGCACTCCTCAATGGAGAAGTACCCCTTTTTACAAGAATACAGTTGAACTTCTAACCACTAAGATATGCATAAATGGTCTATTAGTGTACCGTACCTATTGGAGATAGATACAATCGCCCAACCACCACGAAGGGGAGAGGGACAGCCCTCTACTATATAGGCACCTCGCTGTTATCCCTATACACGCACCTCGCTGTTATCATTGGTGCGAGGTGCCTTTTCGTGCAGATAGAACCAAACAATTGTTTATACCAACTTGATGTGGCTCTGTATACAACTGTTAACTTCGTGCGTAATCCTCAAAGATTCTGCCTCCTCACAAGGTGGCTGCGATCTGCTAACTCCACAAGGCACCAGAGCTTCGGTCTGCCTATAATAAGGAAATAATGTTCTTTTTTTCAAGGGGAAAATATATAAAACAAGATCTACTTTCTTACAACATTGATACAGGGTCGGCAACAAAACTAACAAGCCTCTTGTTGTACTCAGCCGCCTCCTCCTTGTTGCGGTGGTAGTAGGCATCTAAACGCTGCCTTGTTGTGTAGGCTGCGTAGCAGTAAGTAATCATTGTTTGTATGTATTCATTTAAAGGGAGATTAAACAGAGAATTAAAGGGAATAATTTATTAAGAGCAATATTTATTGACTCTATGCTTAGGGGGTCACTCTGATTAAAAGGAACTTGCCACTGCCTCCTGCGACGCTCTTGGATGTCGTGGGGTGATCGGGGCCTGTCCTTACACGAGGCCGCATGCCTGGGTATATACTGGGGGTAATTGACCTGAGGAAGGACTCTTAAAGTACATCTTTTTATTCATTTTTTGTGTTTATTAACAAGCCAGCGGTTTACGTAATTCGAGTTTGATTTATTTCCCAGGTTCCAAGCAAGCAACCCTCTGCAGGGCAAGCACCAACATCAAACGCAGCAGCCTAAGGGATCGTCGTGACCTTATCCGCTGAAGCAGCAACAGTTCTACAGGGACGCAGCGAGCGCAATGGTATATGCGGTGAAGTCTGCTGCAGCAGCATCGCTGCTGCTGCTCCTCCTCCTCTCGTTTTCCGCCTTCCCCGAGCCAGCTGTTGCAGGGCAGGCAGTTGCCCGTGAAGATTCGGATTCTGAAGTACAGGAAGGACTTAACCTAACACCAGAGGCTATGGACAACCTGCCTCACCTGCAGCAATATACATTTGGACCTACCTTCCTTCCAACTCGTGCTACCCTCGGCAAGATACACAAAGAAATGTCGCCTACCCTCAAGCTCACTCTGTTGTTGATTCTTCTTCTAGCAGGAGGATACATTGCTACTCACGGCTTACCCCGCCGCCAGGAAGATTTGGAGGTGGATCTTGGAGAACTGGGCAGCACCCAGCCATCTGCCTAAGCCATTCTCCTGTCTTGAACTTGTTTGCTGCTTCTTCTTATGCCTCCAAACCGATCAATAAACTTTGTCAATATTCGCCTCCCGTGGCCTCCGCTGTGGACCCTGTATAGCGCAGATGGCCCCCTCTGTCTCTCTACGACGGTCGCAGCACAAGCAAGAACTTAGATGGATGCATGCATGATTCATGCATGCGTGCAGCCACCAGAGAGTTCATTCGCACCCCGTGGCTGCCTTCTTACAACTACTTACCAGCAAGCATTGCGGCCTCCATAGAACCCCAGCTCAGTTAAGCTGCTCTGGGGCCCCCCTTAAGAGCGGCTTCAGGTGTGGATGAGCTTAGCGCTCTGAGAGGGTTTAGGTTTTTGGTTAAACAGCCGTCTGCTGTTTAAAACTCCCTACAATCCACGAACGATACAGCTCTCTCAGTAACAGGTTATGCATCGGTAGGGGTGGCTTCCGCCATCCTGGAGACTGCAGAGATTGGGGTGTAGGGTTTAGGGTTTGGCGCTTGGCCTAATGAGGCAGTTGGCGGGGTCTTAAGAGAGCCGGTGGATGTATGCGTGGACTTCAAGTGTGTGTATACCAGAGCAACTGCCGGAAGGATTCGCACGTTGTGCTCCGGGGGGCCCTGGGGACCCCTGTCCTCGGGCTGTCTACTTGTGCTTGCCCCCATTCCTTTCATGGCCAGCCATTAGATCTGGGTGCTGCTTCTTGGTGGTGCCCCACTGCCTTTTCCCATGAAACAGAAACAGCCTGCAGAAAAGGCATGGACGTGGTTACTTTTTGTACGAACTGGCTAGTTACGTAATGAGCCAACGAACGAGGTAGGTAGCAAGCTAGGTAGGTAGGCAGTTATGTGGGTGTGCGGCTAGCTAGCTGTTTAGGTTAGTATTGAGCTAGGCAGGTAGGTACCCGCCTACCGACCTATGTAGGTCTCTCTCTAGCTAGCGAGTTAACTAACTAGTTAGCTAGCTGGTCCCTTGTCCCTTAATGGCCACCTAACATGGGAACTAGGTGCTTGACTGGCTAGCTAGACTCGCGCTGCATGCGCTCCTTTGCTGTGCGTTCCCTTTGAAACAGCAAGAAGAGATTGCAGCCGGGCTGTGCTGCTCATCTGAATTGAAAAGGGATAGCCAGTCTGTTCTATAGCCCCTGCACGCGAATGCACCTGTGCCCGTTGATGCATGCAAACATGCATGCATATATCTTTGCATGCACGCATCCATGAACGCATGCGTGCAAACGGGCATTTAAGGGCTTACACGCACCACCACATGTTTGCCTTCTTCCCCGTCTTGGCAACTACACAAACACTCAGCGCAAAGAAGACAGTATTGGGGACTCACAGAGCCAACAGCAAGGAGACAAAAGGAGACACTTAAAGGAGAAAGATAGTCCCCTTAGGGCCTGTGTGGCAGGTAGCAACTGCTGCATGCAGGTGCGAGAAAGCTGCTGCTGTCCCCCAAGAATCAGCCCCAACCAATAACATTGTCTAAAAAATACAAAAGACTACACTGCCAGGGAATATTAAGCCTTCAAAAACAGTGGCTATACAGTCCAATCATGTGCTGTGGCTGCTGCTGCTACAGCGTCAGCAGCTGTTGTTACTACTCCTGCTGCTACTGAAGTATGCAGGAGCAGCTGCTCTTATTGCATCTGGTGTCAGTAGGTGCATGGCATGCGGAGACAGCGCTCTGCATGCGCACAAAAAAGCCAAGAGTCGCAGCTGTAAGGTTTTACTGCGGCTCCTGTTCCTGCTGTTCCTGCTGCTGGTCGCCTTCTGCCGCGCGCATGCGTCTGCTCTTAAGGGCCATGAGGGCGCGCAGGGTCTTGAGAGTCTCCTTATGATGCCACCCTGCGACACACAACAACGCCTCACTGCTACCGTCACTCTATGTCCCTTTCCCGCTGCAGCAAACCGCACCAGCAGCACCGGCTGCAAACCCAGGGGCTCACTAACACTGATGCCAACAGCAGCGACATCGGCAGCAGCAGTAGCAGCAGCGACACCCAGAGCAGAAGCAGCAAGGCAAGGTGCAGTATCACTGGAAACGTCAGCAGCAGCCCTAGTAGCAGCACAAGGCAGCACCTGTCTCGTTGCTGAAGACCTGCAGCGCAGGGGCCTCCTGCAGCAGCTGACGGATGTCAGGGTCTTGAATAGCGCACAGTTGATACACCTGGGAAGGGCGAGAAGGAGGGACAAGGAATGCATCCTCTGCACGCAAGGAAAAAGCAGACCCAACCTACCACACTACAGGCTCCTTCTGTAGCAGCTCCTGCTGTGGTTGCCGTGGCTGTTGCTACTGCTAGAGCGGCTGCTGCTGCTGCTGGTGTTTTCGTTAATGCTGTTGGCTTGCACAGTTTAGCTGGGATTATGTTGCTGTATCTGCAGCACAAGAAGCAGCAAAGTATCTCCACCCATTCCTACCTCGTTGCTGCTGCCGCGAACCAGGAGGTGGGGCCCCTGCTGCAGCAGCGGCCTTCCAGTTGGTGGCCCTGAAAAACGGATCCCTAAAGTCAATTGTCTGTACACACCATAAACCGTAAACCCCAAACCCCAGCCCACTGACATTTTAATCGCGCAGCCTCTCTTCCCTATGTGCTGGGAGATAGGACCTTGGAGAGCGTGTCAGGCTGTCAAGGGTTTATGGTTTACAGCGTGCTTCCCTAAACCCTAAACAAATCTTGCGGTTAGGGGGTTTACAGCTTTAGACGTGCAGCATGAGGAAATAACGCCAAGGGACTTCGGACGAGCGTTGAGGGGTTTTCAAGGCATCAGTTAAGAACTACGGGTTTAGGGTTTAGGGTCTTAAAGAGTTTCTAGAGGCGGGGCATGAAGCACCTGGTAGTGTCGGCTTTCAGGGTCTTTTCGGGGATCGTATCCCAAGCGGCAGAGGCAGCCACGGAAGGGCCCATCTAGCAGATACGCAAGACACGCACAAGCAAAGTCCTTGCTGCACTCGCTGCTGCTGCTGCTACTGTTGCTGCTGCTGCACGGCTCGCAGATGGCAAGTAAGTTAATAATTAGGCAGCAAGTCACACCGACGTCTCGTGGCTGCAGATACTATGGGGGCGCTCTACTGTTTGCTGCGGGGACTCTTCTCTACTTTAAACCAGCACGCACAACACCAAAATCATCAACAGCAGCACAAGGACCAGCAACACAAGCAGCCGCAACAGGGCAAGCAGAAGCAGCAGGAACAGCAGCAGCAAGAACAACAGCAGCAGCACCTGCAAAGAGGAAGCAAGTCTTAGCATAGGCAGGTTTCTTCCTCCATGCAGTGTACGAACGCGGCAACAAAGCATCAAGAGAAGATCGCAGCCACACGGGTTGCTGCTGCAGCAATTTCTCCAGAGCCAGCAGCAAGTCAGCATCTGCAACAAAATTACAGCAGGTATACGCATATACATATACATATATACCATGCAGCAGCCGCAGGAAGAACAACAGATGCTGACGCTCCAGTAGCTGCTGCAGCAACACCTGTTGCCACACTATGCCAGCAGCACCAACACCACCACAACCAACCACAGCAGCACAAGCAACAGCAGCACCATCAACCCCAGCAACAACGAAAACAGCAAAAGTGTCAACAGTAACAGCAGCAGTATTGGCGGCAGTCGCAACAAGAGAGCCACAACGCAGCCGGCACAGCAACAGCAGCAACAGGAAAACACCTGCAAATGCCTTTGATGCTGCAGGCGGAGGGGCTACGGGCAGCTGCTCATCGCCTATGCGGCCCACGGCGTTAAACGCAGAGCTTTCCTCCTTGCTGTTGTTGCTGCTACTACTGCTGCTGCTAGCTGCTGTTGTCGCTGTAGAGAGGGAGACAGCAGCAAAGTCAGGTCCTTCATCGTTAGCAGGTTCGGATAGGGTGAATGCTGGTGTTTCTGCCACACCATGCTCTGCATCGGCAGCAGCAGCAGCAGGTGCTCCTGTTGCTGCTCCTGCTGCTGCATCTCTCGTATCAGCAGCGACCTCTCGAGCAGAAGGTTCTGCATCGGCAGCAGCAGTATTTCCTGGTGCTGCTGCTGCAGGGGTTGGCTTCCTCCCTGATGTGTCTTCTGATGCGTCTACTGCTGTTACTTTTGTTGTTGTTGCTGCTGCTGATATTGAAGGAATAAAGCGGGGTGCTCGACTTGCTCTTGCTGCAGCGGCTCGTGCTGCTGCTGCCTTTGCAGCAACTGAAAGGCCAACGCCTTCTCCTGCAGCAGAAGATTGTGCCGTTCCTGCTGTTGCAGCTGAAGCTGCTTCTGCTTCAGCATCTGCAGCAGCATCTGCAGCAGCATCTGCTGCGGCAGCTGCTGTCTCGTCTGCTTCCAGTGCCGTCGTTGCAGTTGCCGTGCTGCTGGTGCCGTGCCTTGATCCGCCATCCAACAGGTCTTCCTGCTGTTCCTGCTGCTCCCCCGACAGCTGCCCTTCTTGGTGCTGCGGTACTTGTTGCTGCCCTTGCTCATCCTGTTGTTGCAAGCGCTGACGCTTTTGCTGCTGCTGCTGCTGCTGCTGCAGCTGCATGCATGCCGCGGTGGAAGCCTCCGCAACAAAGACAGGGGGTGCTGGGGCTTCAACTTTGTAAGGAAATGGCGCCTGTCCCTTAAAGAAGAAGGGAGGGGGTATATAAGGGGATCCTTGGCTGCTGCTGCTGCTGCTACTACTACTGCTGCATGCACGCTGCGCTTCAGCCAATACCTGAGCCTCCAGTGTCTCCTCTCCGCGGTGTCCTGGTGGAGGGATGAAGTAAAAGTCCGCAAGGCCTGAAGGAAGTGCAGCAGCACACGCAGCAGCAGATATAGCAGCTGCAGCAACGGCAGCTGCCGTAGCAGCTGCACTTGCAAGAACACTACTGTAGCAGCAGCGAGCGCAGCAGCAGCAGCAGCAGAGATAGCAGCAGCAGCGGTACTAGAAGCAACAGGCTCCGTACTAGAAGCAGCAGCGGCAGGTCTAGACACAGCAGCAGCAGCGGCACTAGAAGCAGCAGCAGCAACAACAAGCAGCACCTGTGAAGACATAGCGCTGCAGGACTCTTCCCAGAGGGACGAACTCGACAGCCCCGGACTTTCGGACTCTTCTCTTTAAGAGGATGCCTGCAGTAGTTTGACGGGAGGCAGGGATGTGTCCCCATCTGCTGCTGCTGCTGCTGTTGTTGTTGCTGCTGCTGCATCCTAGACGCAGCAGCAGGGGATCTCCACCATCTTCTAATGCCAAACTCCGAGAAGCCGCCTCAGCTCCTCCTAAGATGCGCAGCACTGTCGCGCTGCAGCGCAGCATCAGCAGACAGCAGCCACACAAGTAGCAGTAGCAGCATCAACGACATCAGCAGCAACACCAGTAGCAGCAGCAACGCCAGTAGGAGCAGCAACAACAGCAGCAGAAGCAGCAGCAGTGGCTTACGTCTTCTTAGCCTTGCCGGGTATCTCCACTGCAGCAAAGAATACATTTGGCAAATCCAATACCTGGCCTGCGGGAGGGCCCTCATAGCCCTTCTGGGTGTCTCCTTCTTTAAGAGGCCCCTCTGCTGCTGTGATGTCAGAAGGGTTTAGGGGCCCCCCTTTGGGTTCTAGGGTGGCCCCTTCTAAGGCCTGCACTTCCATGCTGGGCAGCTGGGCAGCAAAGGAAGGGCCCCCCAGGGGCCCTGCATGCACCCTTCGAGGCCCCCTAGTCGAGCCTGTAGCTCCACAATGTAGCCTTTATGCTAGCTGGGGGCCCCCAGCTACGCAGGGGCCCCCAAGGGGACAGTGCAGCCTGAAAGTTGTCTCTTCAGCAACAGCAGCGTTCGTTAGGCCCTGGGATGCTGAGACCTCCACTGCGGAAGCAGCAGAAGCAGCAAAAAGCGCATGCGAAACCCACAACTCGGAGTAAAGACCCCTGCGTGGAGCTGTTCAGGGGGCCTCGGGGGGCCCCCCTAAAGGAGGGTACCGAGGGAGCAGGAGGGTCCCCTTGGCTATCTCAGGTTATTAAAGGTCATCCAGTAACAAACAAAACACAAAAATGGACACAATGTGAAACTTTTACTGCAGCCATACAGCTGTCGTAGCAGCCACGTGAGGAAGAGAAGGGGGCCACCGCTCGGTGGGGCCCCCTCTGAAGTGACATGTTACTGCTGCTGCTGCTGCTACTGTTGCCTCTTACTTGCTGCTTCAGTTTCTCTTCCCCTATGTAAGGCTTCTTTAAGGGATTGGGTTATTTTTCCCTTTACAAAGGGGACATCTAGGGTCTAGTGTTAGCTCGTTGCGCTGGTGTTGCTTCAATGTACTAGTAACTCTCCTGGCGCTGCTGCAGGCTTCCTACTGTCCCTTCCTCAAGGAAAGGAGACAGTTAAGCAGACACCATTGCTGCCTACCAACACACCTCACGCTGCAACCCCACTTCCTAGCTAGCTGTGTGTCCCTACGTTCCTCCATAGCTAGCTACCCTTAGCTCTGGCTAGCTGCTGCAGTAGCCGTGGCTGGCTGCAGGTAGCTACGGTTGGCTGCACCCAGTACAGCTAGACACCAGCAGCAACATCCAAGACTCGTGCTGCACTTTGCAACCCCGAATACAATACCCATCTGCTGTGAATGTACACCGAAGGCGAGTACATCCGCCTGCCTTCCCCATCTACTCGTTGGTAAAATGTTAATAAATGGATATAAATTAATAATAACATCTATAAATAAATATATAAATAGGTATTCATAGAAGAAGACAGCTGTCAGTTAATACGGGCCCTTGCCTCTAACTGGGCACAGCAGCAGCAGCCGCACTCGCGCTGCCGCTGCTGTAGCCGCTGCTCTTTAACCCTTCGCAGCATTTCTGCCTCAGCCCTGACCTATTTTGGTTCCTTAAGGGCTTCCTGCGGGCCCTTTGCACGGAGACGTCCCTTCAGCAACAGCTTGAAGGGGCGACGTGTGTCTCCCTACTGCAGCAGGAGATCGGAGACCACGTCAGCCTCAGTGTGTAGTGGCGTGTTACTAAAGTGGGGTTGGTGTTCCCTGTTGCGCATGCAAGAGGTCCGTTAGCTGTTTTAACGTCTCATCAAGCTCTCCTGTGTCTCCATCTAACTCGTCGGTAGACTGCTGGGGGCCCCGGATAATGAGCTGCTTTGGCTGCAGCTGCTGCTGCAGCAGCTCCTGCACTAGTAACCGTGCACTGTCACACTCCTCCAGCAGCGTAAAACAAGGGGCAACGCAAGCATCTGGAAGAGACAAGACCCCACAGGGAGCTGCGGCAGCAGGCAACACCGGCCTGCTGCTGCCCCCTGTCTGTGCTCCTTCCAGCAGCAGCAACTCTGGGTCGTCATCCTGATCCCCTTCAACTCGGACTTCTGTTGATGCTCCTCCTGCTTCTGCATCAGCCCCTTCGCATGCAGTTGTCTCTTTGCCGTCATTTATTGCACCGTCCACCGTTGATGCTGCCGCTGCATCTGGCTGCGCCTGGTGCTGCTCTTGTTCTTGCTGTTGCTGTTGTTGTGATGGTGCAGTAGGAAGTCCCAGCGGCACTACTACGGACGCTGCTGCTGCTGCTGCTGCTGCTGCACCAGCAACCTGCTGGGTGTAACGAAAGGAGCAGAGAAAGTAACAAGTCCGTAGGCCTCCTGCTGACCGCAGCAGGCCCCTAAGTGCCCGCAGCAGCACAGTGCAGCAATGCGCATCAACCCCACAACCGCAGCTGGCTGTCTGTGCACCCCGTGCTGCTGCTAACTCCTGTCCTCCTCCCCCAACACAACAAGGGCGACCTGTTCCGTTGCTGCAGCACCCGCATGCACCGGATACGGCGGCAGCCGGCGCCGGTGGGGAAACCTCCTGCTGCTTTAGCTGCTGCTGCTGCTCTCCAAGAGGTTCATCGCTACAGCATCGAACTGCAGCAGAACAGACATGAGAAAGGTACAAAAGGAAATACCCCTTTGGAGCAACAGCACATGCAGCGTCTGTCTGAAGCACATGCACGGGCACCTCCGCCTCAGTTTGGCTGCTGCTGCTGTTACTGCTGCCTCTGCTATTATTGCTGCTGTTGCTGCTGCTGGTACTGTTGCTGTTGCTGCTGCTGCTGCTATTGTTGCCGCTGTTGTTGCTGCTAATGCTGTTGCTGCTGTTGCTGCTGCTGCTGTTGCTGCTGTAGCTGGAATCAGAAGCAGCCGCCGCGGCAGCCTGCGATGGGGTCTCACCGCAGGCTGCGCGCGCTACAACAACACCAATTCTAAAGCCGGGCCCACCCAACACGGGCTCAGTGCAAATTGCAAGCAGCCTGCAGCACGAAGGGGGGGTCGATATCTCGTTGCTGCGTATTGCTGTTGTTCCTTCTGCTGTTGCAGCTGCTGATGCTCCGTCTGCTGCTCCTCCTGCGCCGTTTGCTGCTGGTGATTCGTGTTGTGCTGCTGGTGATTCGTGTTGTGCTGTTGGTGGTTCGTGTTGTGCTGCTGGTGCTGCGTCTGCTGCTGGCGCCCCATCTGCTGTTGCTGCTGCTGCTTCTAAAGCTAGCGTATCTTGTTCTTCTGAGACTGAAGATGCCTCACTACCTCTCGCTGCTGCTGCATTGACCTTCTTAGCTACGAATGATGTTGCTGCTGCAGGCGGTGCTGCACTTGCAGTGTTCCTCCCACCACCTTCCGTGGCGTTTGTACTGTTAGTCTCCTGCGTTTGCTGCTTCTGCTGCTGTACCTGTTGCTGCTGCTGTTGCTGTTGCTGCTTGCTTGAATAGAATGGACGACAGAAGGCTTGAGCCTGTCTCCTCAGGATAAGGGGCTCCGTGTTAGGGGCAGGGATACCCCCAGATTCGTACAGCAGCAGCTTTGTATGGATCCGCTCGCCATTGCTGCAGTGCAGCACCAAGCCGCTGCTGCTGCGCTCCAGCCTTGCTGACAGCTCGTCTACATCCTCCTCCCCGTTTAATTCGGCTTCAAACTGGCTCTCCTGCTGCTGCTGACTTTGCTGCTGCTTCTGCTGCTCTTTGGATTGGTGCAGCTGCTGGTGTCCCTGCTGCTGCTGTTGCAGTGGCATGCGGGGGGGCGCTACGAACTGCAGCCGCTCAACAGCAGCTCCCAGCATGCAGAGCGCCCCACTGAGAGCTGCGGAGCGTACGAAGGCCTGAGGCAGGTCTCCAGACCCGTAAAGAGGGTACAGCAAGGGGGCTCCCTTACATGCATAAAGCCCAGAACCACTGACAAACAGCTGCAGCCGACTGCGCCCCTCAGAGACAGTCCAGCGACGAATATGACCGCCCTTGCACCTCGCTGATGCTGCTGATGCTGCTGCGGGAGCTGCTGCTGCCGCGGGCAACAACGGCTCCTCACACAGACAAACCCCATAAGTCAACAACCGCCTCAGGTGAGGGTTTAGGCCCTGCTTCTCGAGGTAACAATCCCAGCAGTCTCCCTCCTGGCAGTTTGCTGCTGCTCCTCCTCCTGTTTGTGCGTTTGCTGCTGCGTTTGCTGCAGATGCAGCAGAACGGCCTAGGGGCCTCCAGTCGGCAGCAGAAGCGAAGGGGGCACTGACAGTGGTAGGCTTAGGTGTCCCTAAAGCAGCAACAAAACGCATTAAAGCTCGCCTCTCTGCAAGAGACAGCAAGGAAGATAGAAATATCTGACTCTTGCTCATGGGAGTAGGCTCTAATACAACTTTCTCTACAGGAGCAACAACTTCAAAGGCATCCCTGGTGCGGGCCCCGAGATGTGGAGGCCCCCTTGCTGCGGCAGCCACCGCGGCAATATATGCATTCAAACCTACAACTGCCGAAGCAGCATCAGCAGCAGCATTCTGGCCGTCTTGTTGGTGCTCCTGCTGCTCTGGCTGCTGCCCCCGCGCAGGCTGCTGTGGGCCGGATCCGTGCTGCTGTTGCGAACTGACCGAACCTGCCACTGCCTCTTCGTCATCCTGCTGCTGCAGCTCTGCTGTCAGTACAGCTGCGTCGCAGCTCCTGAACTCCAAGTACCTGGCTGCTCCGCTTTCGATCAGCACATCGATGATGTCGCTCGAGGTGTAGATACACTTGGGCATGAGGTCTATCAAGAAGCGCGAGCCCTCCGCCATCAGCTCATGCTTCATCTGCAGCCGCTGTGCCTCCACACTGCCGGGAGGCTCGCCCGCTGCTGCTGCTGCATCCGCCGCAGCAGCAGCTGCTGCTGCTGTAGCTGCTTGGGCTGCTGCCGTCGCAGCCTCGGCAGCTGCCACCTCGACAGCCTCTGCCAGGCCCACATCAGGTGCTGATGTTCCCGCCGTTCCCGCTGCTCTTGCTGCTGCATCTGCGGCGGCTGTGGATGCCACTGTTGCTGCTCCCGGTGAGGCAGCAGCTGCTCCGGTTTGTGCTTCTGGTGCTCCACACAGCGCGTCTGCGGGAGAAACCAGTGGGTTGGTGCTACGGTCTCCCTCGGGCTCAGAGAGCGGCATCTCGGTGGGTCTGCGACAGTGTAGCGCAGCAGTCAGTGGGTCGTGGTGGGAGCTGGAAGTCTGCTGCAGCAGCAGTGGCTGTTGCTGCTGCTGCAAACCTTCGACAGCGGGAGAGTCCCCAGATGGTTGCTGAAGCGAAGGAGCGGGGCTGCTGACAGGCCCCTCTCCCCACTGTCCCGCACCTGCAGCAGGTGAAGCACCAGCAGCTGCAGCGGGAGCAGTAGCAGCTGCGCCAGCAGTGGGTTGCAGCAGAGGCGGAGGTCTTTGGGTATGCCTGCTTGTTCTTGACGTTTGTGTTGTATCTGTGGTGCTGCTTGTGGTGGCTGTGTAGCTTGTCTCTGCTGTAGCATCCGTGGATGCTGAGTCTGTGCTGCTTGCATCTGTCTCTGTCTCCTCTTCAGTGTCTCCTCCTTCCTCCTCAAGTGTCTCCTCCTCCGGTGGCCCCTCAACAGGCTCAAGAAAGGGCCCAAAGGAGTACCACCGCCTCTCAAACCCGTCCCCAAGGGGGCCCCATGCCCCCTTAAAAGGTCTAAAACTGTCCCCACCAGGGGGCTCATAAGGGCCCGCACCGGCTGGATCACCTCCAGAGGGCCCGGCTGGGTCACCTCCAGGGGACCCCCCAGATAAACCCCCACCACAAGACCCGCCACCGCGGCCCCCTGGGGCAGCGCATGCATCCCCATTACCAGGAGGGGGGCTCCCGCGGAGACGATCTGTTGCAGTGGGGACATCGCTGTGTCTTGTTGCACTCAGAAGGCGGGCAAACCCTAAACCGCTCCCCAACGAAGCAGGCCTGTCGGGCCCGCCTCTCTGCTGCTGCTGATGACGGGGACTCCTTGGCCCTCCAGGAGAGCATGGGGTGTCCACTCCTGATGTATCCTCGTGCACTGCTGCCTGCTTGGTCCTTGGGGTGTCCCTAGGGCTCTCTGGCGGTCCCCTTTCTGCTTCAGTGTCATGACAGCAGCAGGGACAAGGCGGCAGCCCCTTCTTGAGGGATCGTCTCCTTTCTTCATCGTCGGGGCCACACGGGGGGCCCCTTGGGGAGAATGAAGGGTCCCATGGGGGGCCCTTCCCGGCCCCTCCCTCTGCCCACTGCAGCAGCTCCTCAAGGCGCATGCTGCGATGGGGGCCCCCATATGTCATAGAGGGTTCGCATAGGAGACAAAGAAATCCCCTTCGGCTAAGAGCAGCACAAATAAGAGTGCTGGAAATACTTGAGCCCACAACCGTCACATCAACACAAACAGAACCCCCGCCGGAGGGAGGAGGCACGCGGACACAAGGACGCAGCACCTGCTGCTGCTGCTGTTCCCCTTGCTTCTCCTGGTGCCGCTCTGCGCCATCCTGCATGGGGTGTTGTTGCAGTTCCACAAGCTTCTCACTCTGAGAAGCCTCATAGTCCCCTGCACGAAGCTCTTGCTGCTGCTGCTGCGGCTCTGGCAAATGATTGCTGTAGGCTGTAGCCGTGAGGCCGCGTGGATCACCAGCATCTAGTTGTTTCTTCTGCTGCACCTGCACCTGCTGCTGGTTGTGGCGCTCTTGCTGCTGCTGCTGCAGCTGCTGCTGTTCGGGCATGGCCGCACGGGGCCTTTCAAGCCCCTGTTATGGCCCACCGTTGAGGTCGTCAGCAACTCTACTGAGTCCTCAGAAACATAAGAGGTAAACAATGAGCTGAAGAAGTATTCATGCTACTGGGATGTTGATAATGAATCGGTTTTTGACAGCAGCTCCTAGGTTGGGCCTGTTGCCTCAATCGCTGCTGCTACCGTTGCTGCTGCTGCTGAGACTGCTACTGGTGATGTTGCAGAAGGTCTTGCCACACTAGCAATGCCGAAGCCCAATAAACAGCAAGTCAGCTGCTGTGCCGACGCACAAACGCGTCCGCTGCCGCTGAAGCCAGTAGCAAAACTCGCCAAAAAGACAATCTGTGCTGCTGCCTCTCTGCTAAGCAGGAATAGGAAAACAGCTGCGAGAGCAAGTAACCCAGCATAGACACCATGAAATTCTAAAACGTCGTCTACCACCGAGGCCTTCCTTTGCTACCCAGCCCCTACTCCTGTTGTTGTTGCGGCGGCTGCCACGGTTGTTGTTGCGACGGGTTGAGAGGCGGCAGTGCCTTGGGGCCCTTGTCTGGCGTTTTCCTTCCGCAAAAATGCTTTTTCCCTCATCTAAATTGGCTTAAGAGCTTACAAAGACCCCGCAGACAAAGGCAACAAACCCAACACGGGGAGCTTCCTGCAACGATATATGGGAGCGCCCACTGTAGTGCACAGGCACTACAATGTGGCTCTGATGTGATCTCTAGTGGCTTATTGATTGTAAAGAGAACAAATATTAAATAATTTAGGATTAAGTCATTATTAACTATGAATAGGAACTAATACTGCTAAATGTTCTAAGAGTTGGGTCTCGGAGATAGAGTCATAGCTTATTAGGGTTATCCAGCCAGTAGTCACCCATATCGGCTGTGTAGCGAAACGCTTAGTCATTACTTGGGTACCAGATAGGACTTTAGAGGTCTAAATGGAGAAATAAATACAGTCATTATTTTATAGGAGTATTCTGCCTGTGAATAGGACATTTAGGAGGATAGCATTTTATAGGTCAGGCACCTGATTGTGTCGTCGCTGTTGATATCTCCCCGCCATCTTGTAGGTCGGGCACTGATCCCCTGTAAAGACCGGGGCCAGTTCCGGACACAGTTCTATTATTCTGGGAACTTCCCTTGTTTATAAAAGAGACTCGAACGTGATTTGGAATTTTAAGTATTGGCCCCTGGGGAGTTGGGTAGTTAGTATGTAGTTAGGAAGCAAGACGTTATTAGAAGGTAAATAGGCACAGCTTAGGACGGCTGTGCACTACATTTGGGGGCTGTTCAGTGGTACATTCCACAGGAAATGTAACCCATATATAGCTAGGCGCATAGAGAGCTCCCAGGAGCAGCAGTAACTACAGGGGCAGCTGTTGCTTTAGAAGCAGCAGACTCACCTGGAGGAACAGTCTAAGCTGTTACCTGCTGTTTCTCCTTCTGACACTGGAATATGCGAATTTACGTGGCTTTGCTGTACACAGCTAACCCCCTCCTTTTCCCACCCCCCCACGGGGGAAGGGGGC